AGCACAAGACAAAGTAGGGTTTCAGCAGTTGTTCACAGGGTCGTTAGGACTCAGTCACAGGCTAGTCCTTGAAAAGGGGCACCATGCTTGGAAAGGTGGAGGGTCAGCAAAAGAAAGGAAGACCCTCAACCACGTGGACTGACACAGCGACTGCCATGATAGGCTCAAGAGATGATGTGACGGCCCAGGACAGGTCAGGGATCAGATCTGCTGTTCAGAGTATCTACGAGCTGTACTCATCTTGACAGCACCTAACACCATAGCCACCACGCTGTGCCTGGGTTTACCAGCAGTTTTTTAATCTGCCTGGCCCCCAAGGATATGAAAATTTTCATTGCTGATGTTTATTTTTGTTGTGTCTCAGGTTTCCCCACCAATTCACTTGCTGGAAGTTTGTACTATTTTATAGTATTTCTTGAAAGAATGCATTCTGCTTTCATTCAACAAACAATGCTTTTGCTCTCATTTCTGCTTTATGGGTGGACAGATTCAGGGAAAGAGCTGCTGGGTAGGTCCAAACCAGCAACCTTGTTATTTCAAAGCAGAGCGCAGAACTGTCATGTCAGCAAGACCCCTCAACTTAACTGCCTGTTGCTCTGTGTCAAGTCAACTCTGCTTCACACTGATAGTGACACAGCAGACTGTCCACAGGGTTCCAGGGGTAGGCCTTCATCTCATGTCCATTCTAACCTACCGAGATGGTGAGTGACACAGCAGACTGTCCAAAGCGTTCCAGGGCTGCTGTCTTCACTTGAGTTTAATGTCAACTGTTTCTTCAGTGCAAATGCCAGGTGGGCTGGACCTGCAGATTCTTCACTTTCAACTAGGTGCTTACCTGCTCTGCCACCAGGGTCCCCACCTGTGCTGTGCCTTGCCCTCCTGGCCGCCCGAGCTCCAGATTTCACCTGGAATGCTGACCTCTGAGATGCAACCTGTCTAGGGCACTTCCTACAGTTAGCCAGGTCATGGCCAGGTCCACCTTGCCTTGCCCTCCTGGCCGCCTGAGCTCCAGATTTCACCTGGAATGCTGACCTCTGAGATGCAACCTGTCTAGGGCACTTCCTACAGTTAGCCAGGTCATGGCCAGGTCCACCTTGCCTCACCCACTGCCCATGACAGCTGTGTGGTTGGGGCTGGATGCTGAATGACCTCCCCATCTCACCCACCATGGACTTCATCTGCAACTGAACAGACTCCTCAGACAGACCTCAGGAAGGGGCCAGCACACTGTCCTCCACAGGCCAGGATGGACAGAAGGTGGCCTCTGGATGTCTGTACACCTGCTCACAGCACTGTACTGAGCACTTACTATGCAGCCATGAAAGTGCACTGTCCCTGGGTGAATTCTCTCACTGTGACTCCTGCACCAGAGCAGAAGTGCCTGGAGCTTCCTGGTTTCGGGGTTTTTTTATGGTGAGAAAAATTTCTATTTAGAATTAAGTAGCTAGACTCAGTTTAGATGATTCCAATTTTGTTGGCAACATCCAAAGCTTCATAATCAGGAGCAAGTAAAAAATAGCCTTTGTAGAGGTGCTAAAGACCGCCCTCATCCACGATGGCCTAGCACGTGGAATCCGCGAAGCTGCCAAAGCTAAGCCCATCTATGTGTGCTTGTATCCAACTGTAATGAGCCTGTGTATGTCAAGTTAGTAGAAGCCCTTTGTGCTGAACACCAAATCAACCTGATAAAGGCTGATGATAATAAGAAACTGTGGGAGTGGGTAGGCCTCTGCAAAATTGACTGAGAAGGAAAGCCCCACAAAGTAGTCGGCTGCAGTTGCGTAGTTGTTAAGGACTATGGCAAAGAATCACAGGCCAAGGATGTTATTGAAGAGTATTTCAAATGCAAGAAATGAAACCAATAAAGAACTTGGCATATTGCTTTTCTGTTCTTTTTTTGAGGGGAGTGAGGAGCAATAAAATGGAGCTTTTATAACAGAAAAAAAATAGCCTTTGTTCAGTACATCAGGCCAAATCAAGGTTGCAAAATCAAATCATTGCAGCTTGTTTGATTTGGCCTTGACATCCACAATGAGCACAAGTGTGCTGTTATCTCCTGTCCTCTCCATGGCTGACTCAGTGGTCAGGGGAAACCTGATGATGGCATAGTGGTCAAGCTTGTTTCTCTTGGGGGCACTCTTTTGGGGGAGGTATTTGGGCTGCCTTTGGAGTCTCAGCATCTTGGGCTGCTGGAAGGTGGGGGACATGCAGGCAGATCTTTTTTGGGCTTTCTTTGCTTTGGCACTATCTTTGTAGAAAACTTTTTTTATCTGTGTCACGGATCACACTGATTATTTTCCCAATATCAAACCATTCTTGTATGTTGTTGTTGTTATGTGCTATTGAGTCAAAATCAACTCCTAGCTGTGTTGCAGACCGAGGGTCAAGTAATTTTATAATTATTAATAATGAGACAAACAGCCAGGAATGAGATAGAGCAGAGAGCATAAAAGAGGGGGCCAGCAGTTCTCCACTGAAGACCACAAGTCAAGCTTCTCTGTATCTTTATTGAAAATTATCTGGAAGTAAATCACAAAGAGAATTCAATGCAAATGAAGCCAAGCTCTTTCTATTGAAAACCTCTGCTTGACTTCGGAGGGAGGGGTTTAGCAAATACAAGAATCCTGGTAAACCCTTAAGGATTGCCTTAGTGCCTCAGGGTGAACTTTAGCTTGAACCTTGCCTTCCCCACATTCCAAAATAGCATTCAGTTTACTACAAATATTTAGTATTGGCTTCCTATACAGCTGACCTTCAAACAGATGTTTAAAGTCTTTAAATTGTGCAGGAGGAGACTGCCTGTATTTCTCTTGAGCTGCTGGTGGATTCTGGCCTCTGGGCTGATGGTACAACTTCTTACTCACTAGGTTACTGGAGCTATTATTGCATACTTGGTACAAATCCCACTTCATTATGATTTTTAAAACTACCTTTGGTTATATTGGCTAGGATTTTGTTGATAATTTCTGCATCAAACTTCATGAGTAATATTGGTCTCTAATTTCATTTGAGACATCTTTCACTTCCAACCCACAGGAACCAATTTTATGCTGCTCATTAAAGAAATTACTAATTTACCTGATACACACACAATTTTTCTGATTTCAAACCACACAGTATACCTTTCTGTTTTAACAACTGCCTCATGGTCTGTGTAGTTTCCATATGAGCACAGTTAAGTGTTCTGGAAGAGTGTATGCCTCTGAATTGTGGTGTTGGCAAAGATTATTGAATATATTATGGACTGCCAGAAGAATGAAAAAATACAGCTAGAGTCCTCCTTAGAAACAAAGATGATGAGACTTTGTCTTAAGCATTTTGGGCACTCTATCAGGAGGGCTCAGTCCCTTGTGAAGGACATCCCAAGTCTGACACACAGCCTGGTGTCTGCCCATCTGCCTGGTCAGTTCATCCTGTGACATGGTACAAGGCTGTGTTGAGACCTGGCCTAAGCCTGGGACATGTCAAACCCTGGAGGAAACCACTTAGCCACAGAACAAGTGGGCTACAAGTGGGCATAATAACCTATGGAGGAAGAAATCTGACAAACAATCATTGGCCAGGAGGCTTCTCCGTGACATAGGCAGCCTCTGGGACTTTGTCAATGGATGTAAAGAGCTTTCTAACGCTTGTCCAAGCAGAGTGAGAGCAGGGCCAGTGGCTAAGAGGAGGCCACACAGGTGACAGGAGCTGAGACTCACCCACATGCTTCTTGATCCTGAGTTTTAACCTCTTTCTTCCCTAACAAACTTCATGTTGTTGTGATGTACCATAATCAGAACTGACCCTTCAGGGCAGGTTTTTAGAGGCAGTTAATCGCCTGGGAGATTACCCATCCTTCTCTGTTCTATGGAACAGCTGGTGGCCTCACACTCCGTGCCTTCAGGATTGCAGTGCAGCTTCTTGCCACTAGACCACCTGATCTCCCTAGTCCTGAGCACTGTCTCTTGAGTTTTGTGCCACTGCAATGAATTTGCAAACCCATCACAGGACTGCCTTAGTCAATAATAGCTGGTGGTGAAGTTAGAGCAGATATTAAGGGAGGTGGCCTTTATTTTGGCCCCGAGCGGAGATATTGCGAGTCAGCAAACACCTGCGGGCAGGAAAGCTGCAGGAGGTAAAACAAAAACAAAAAAACCAAAGCAACCAAACAAACCCCCCCCCCCAACTTCTCCCCACAGACTTCACAAGGGCCCTGGCTTTGGATCGCTAGTGTTTCAAGTGGCTACCACGAGAAACTTCCTTTCTAAAATATCCCACTGGGTGGGGGGGAGGGGGAGTGAAAAAGGCTGGATCCTTCTGATTCAAGCACAGCCTGCTCAAAGCCATGGAGGATAGCCCTCCTCTGTATTTTCATGAATAATTAGGCATTCCATTTTCATTACAAAAACCAACTTGCTATCTTTTCTGGTCAGATTCCTAGTTTTGTAAAATGACACACCGTCTTTCCTGTGGCGACTCGTACCCACCACCTGCTGCGATGGCCCTGACTCAGCTCCAGGTGCAATCCTGACCGTATTCTTTCCCTACCACTGTTGAGTGGCCGGAGTGACGCAGCCCTGCCCTGTCGCGTAAAACACGGGTCTTGGAACAGCAGCCTGGCGATGCCCAGAGTGGGTCTCGCAGAAGCTGCTGGCCATCCGCCCTCGCCCGGACCGAGCTCAATGCCAACCCCTCTACAGTGGACGCGGGCTGCCCTCCGCTAGGAGTCCCGATCCACACGAATGAGCAAGGCCCCAGAGCCTGCCCGACCCGCACGCCCCACCGCACGCGCGCTCTCCACCCCGCACACCCGCCTCGCCCGCCAGCCGCCGAAGGAAGCCCGTGAGGGCCACGTCGCTCACCCTTCCCAGTCCCCGCTGACGCCGGCCAACACAAGCCAATCCCAGCCCACGCCACTGCCAGTCAGCCAATCGCAGCCCGTGTTGAAAGCGCCAATGGGAACCTCGGCGCGGCTGTGACGTCGAGCGGCGAAGGCGCCGCTGTGGCGGGAAGTGGCGATGGCGGCACGGCGCGGGGCTTTGATCGTGCTGGAAGGCGTGGACCGCGCGGGCAAGAGCACGCAGAGCCGCAAGTTGGTGGCCGCGCTGTGTGCCGCCGGCCACCACGCCGAGCTGCTCCGCTTCCCTGGTGGGTGCCGCCCCGACCCTCGTCCTCGAGTCAGCCCTGGGGGATGAAGGGCCTGTGTCCACCAATGCCTTCTGTTACTCGTATAAGGTTGCTGTAGGTGGACGTGGTCCTCCTCTCAGCCTGGATGGCTCTGGTGTGCACTGTTACGTGCTCTTCATAGCTGACTCTGGAGTGTATTTTCAGAGACTGTAAGTGGCACGGAGGAGATTGTCCATCTTTCTGCTGCGGAGCAGCTGGTGGAATATCAGTCCATTTTGAGATTGTCCTCTGTTTCCTCAGTCCTCCACCTTTCCAAGTATGATGACCCTTCCCAAGGAAAAGCTCCTTATAATAACATGCCCAAAATATGTGAGATGAAGCTTTGCCATTCTTGCTTCTAAGGAGCACTCTGGTTGCGTTTTCTAGCGACCTGTTTGTTCTTTTGTCAGACGTCATAACTAAGACAACTCAAAGGCATGAGTTGTTATTTAATTCGTATTAATTGTTCAGCTCTCAGGTGCATTGCAGGTAATTGGAAAGACCATGATTTGAATTAGACACACCTTAGTCTTTAAACTGACATCATTTCTCTTCAGGACTTTGGAAAGGACCCTGACAACCAACTTTCTTAATGCTGTATGTGCTCAAATCTCCTGACGGTTGGTACCAAGGGCATTGATAGTGGTCCCAGTAAGATGAAATGATTGACAATTTCTGTCTTTTCACCATCTATAATGATGTTGTCTGTTGACCCAGACGTGAGGATTTTTGTGTTCTTCATGTTGAGATGAAGCTCTAGTGGCAAGTCCCAACAGCATGCAGTTCAAATACACCAGCTGTTCTGTGGGAGAAGGATGGGCAGTCTCCTCCTGTGCAGGTAACTGCTTCTGAAAACCCTCTGGAGAGTCAGCTATGGGTCAGTTCCTACTCGATGGTACACAAGAACAATCTTTGATCTTCTGCAGTAATTATTTCAGGACTTCATCACTTTCTACAAGCAAGGTTGTATCATCTGCATAATGCAGGTTGTGGATAAGTTGTCCTCCAATCCTGATGTTACATTCCTCCTTATAGAGTCCAGCTTCAGATTAAATAGGTATGGAGTAGTGGTACAAGAGGGTATAAAGATCCAAGGTACCTAAAAACAGCAACAGCAGCTATTGGTTGGGGATAAGATTCAGATTTCTGACCACTCTTGGGGCTGTGATAGAGTTCTTTCTCTGCATTATCTTAGAAGTGCTGAGTAGGGAAGACAAAAACCAGTGTCTATAACTCCTCCAGTGCTTTCCTCTAGGGATATAATCCTGGAAGGGTGTGAATTCGGCACCTGGTTAATGATCTCGTTACTCTGGTGGTGTTTATGCACATATGTCTGTGCTGGAACAGTGTATCTGTCAGTCCTCTAAAAGGTTGGAGTTGCGGTGTCAGTTTCTGCTCATCTGAGACCTCAGGATGTGAGCTAGGTGATAGGTAGTTTCCAGCATGTGAAAGTTTCTGCTGGCCTCAAAGGAGCCTGGAGTATTCTCCCTGACTGTGGATCATGCCTTTGACAGTCTAGGGGTAGCTTCTGATGGGGTGCCAGTAAGAGATGGTCAATATGAAGACACAGTATGGACTTAAGTATGTGAAGACTCCATGAAGGTGCTATCTGTGGTGGGTATCCTGCTTCAGGTACGGCTGTGGCTTATCAAGGATGTGCGAAAAGCTGCAGTGACAAAACCAAAAGGGATTAAAATTAATAAAAAAGAAAAAAAAAGATCTGGTGGCCTAGTGGCAAGAGGCTGCACTGCAATCCCAGAAGAACGTGGTTCAAATCCACCAGATGCTCTGCTGAAGGAGGGGCAATCTCCTCCTGTACCAGTCAGATCCAATTTGACACAAAAGAATAATAATAATAAAAAAAAGAACAAACCAAAAGGAGGGAGCAACACAATGACATTTCTAAAGCTGAAAGAACTGAAAAGCAAAATCAAGTCCTGAGTTGTAATACTGAAAATTCCTATGGACAAAATTTTTAATATTTGATGCCAAACTATTTCAGGAAGTAGCATATGACCAGTGGTGCCGAGGAAGAAGTCTAAGCTGCACTGAAGGCTTTGGCAAAAAATAAGGCCCCAAGAACTGATGGAATACTAATTGGGGTGTTTAAGGAAATAAATAGATGAAAACCTGGATGTGGTCACCAGTCTGCCAGTAAATAAGGAAGCCAGTTACTTGGCTATCTGTCTCAAAGAATTCCATATTTGCTTGGATCCATAATCAACACCCATGGAAGTAGCCATCAAAAAATGAAAAGATGTGTTGCATTGGGAAGATCTGTTGTCAAGGACCTCTCCATACAGCGAATGAGCCAGAGGGTCAGTTTACAGACTAAGGTGTGCCTGATCCAAGTCATGGTATTTTCAGTTGCTTTGTGGTGTTTGTCATCAAATTGGAACCCAACCACAAGTGGGTTTTCAGGGACAGTAAATCACACGGGAGGAGATGACTCATCCTTTTCCCATGTAGCAGCTGGTGGATTTGAACCATATGACTTTGGATTGCAGCACAGTTTCTTACCACCAGGCCACCAGAGCTCCCTCAGTTTCTTTGCAGGTTATCTAATAATCACACATTGAATAAGGAAGAAGAAAGAATGCCTTTAATTTTAGTTGTGAAAAATACTGTAAATTCCATGGATTGCCAAAAGAACAAACAAGTCTGTCTTGATGAATTGCAGCCAAGGGGCTGCTTAGATGAAAGGATGGTGAAACTTCATCTCACTTAACTTTGGGCATGTCGGGAAGGGCCAGTCTTTGGAAAAAGTTATCATACTGGGAACTGCAAACATGTACCAAGTGGACCTATGCTGGCCTGAGTGTTAGATGGGAATTCAGTCTGAGTGATCTTGTAAGTGGAAGACTTCCCTTCACCTTTCTTTGTTTCTTCCTTAGAAAGATCAACTGAAATTGGCAAACTCCTGAGCTCCTACTTGGAGAGGAGGACTGAGGTCGAGGACCACTCTGTGCACCTGCTCTTCTCTGCAAACCGCTGGGAACAAGCGTAAGCCTCCCACTCGCTGCTGACCCCCATCCACATGTACTTGGTGATGTCCCTGTACTTTGCATTGTTGTATCCCATTGAGTCAGAAATGACACACAGCTGACCCTCTAGCAGGTTTTCAGAGGCTGTAAGTGACACAGGAGGAGGTTGCCCATCTTTCTCTTGTGGAACCACTGGTGGATTCGAGCCAGCTGCCTTTGAGTTGGCATTGCAACTCCTTACCCATTAGGCCACCAGAGCCCCTGTAGGACTGAATTCTCCTTTACTTGCACTGCTACTTAGAGAACCAAACAACATTGTTTGCTGCCTAGTAGCCTTGGGGATGGTGTTAGGCCAGACTCCTGACTGGGGTCTTCTAACTCTGCTGGACCCCTTGCACCTTTGCTCTTTCTGTCTATCCCTTCCTGTCCCTTGGCACTCCTGCTGGCTCTTCAGCTCCTCCTTGCCCTTCCTGGGGTCAGTGCAAGACCTCAACACCCCCCCCCCCAATACACTTTTTTTGCCCCTTCAGCTGTCCTGAGCCTCCTTTTCCTTCAGTCTAGTTTGGCTCTCAGCACCTGCTTCCTGGCACTCACCACCCTTGTGTTCTTGCAGGGTCTGGCCTCCTCCGTAGGCTGCTTAAGCCCCCAGCTTCAGCCAGGTGGAGTCTGTTTAGTGTAATTGTCTGCTTGTTAGTGAGCTTTTGGAATGTTGTGGAGCATCTTCAACAATCCCGAGGGATCTTGAAGGGTCACTCTTGAGTGAAGAAGGAGACTGGGTGTGGTTGCCTCTGAGTGTCCTCCCTGTATCCTATTGAAGTTGTCTAAGCTGCTTGGGGCACAGAGCCCTGACCACAACCAATGCTTCTCTGCTTTTCAGGCCTTTAATTAGAGACAAGCTGGACCAAGGGGTCACCCTTGTTGTGGACCGATATGCCTTTTCTGGTGTTGCCTTCACGGCAGCCAAAGAGGTGAGTGGAGGAGACCCAGCAGTCAGTGTTGTGTGCCTATCCGGGAGGGGGGCCTTTCAGCCTGCAGCACAATGTCTGTTTAGGGAGGACTGGTGGTGTCAGAGTGTCCACTTGAGGAGCAGGTAGTGTGTGGGACAAGGCTCTTTCTGGTTGCCCCTCCCTTTATTGTTGTTATGTGACATTAAGTCAATTATGGCTCAGACTGGCCCTTTAAACTAGAGGTCAAATCTTTGCCCTGTCCTGAGCTATCCTCATGATTTCCAACATGCTCAAGCCCATTATTAAACTCACTGCTAATCAATTTTGTTGAGGGTTTTCCTGTCTCTAAGTCTCCACCTTTCTCATATGTGTCTCTCTCAAAGGACTGGTTTGCCTGACCATATGCCCAAGGTAAGTGACGCCATGTTTCCCCCTCCTTGCCTCCAAGGAGCACCCCATTGCACTTTCTCCAACACAGATTTGTTTGTTCTATTGACAGTCCTTGGGACATTCAGTACTCTTTTCCAGCTCCGTAATTCAAAGGTATTGATTCTGCTTGTATAATCTTTATCCATTGTCCAGTGTTACAGACCAAGGGTCAAGTACTTTTATAAATATTAATAATGAGACAGAACACCAAGAATGTAGGAGAACAGAGGTAAAGCCGGAAGTGAATAGTTCTAGAACAACTGAAGCTAACTGAAGTGCAGGATTCCAGCTTCCAGGATTCCAGCTTCCGTGTATCTTTATTGGAATTTGCCAAGGAGAAAGTCACAAAGAGAATTCAATGCAAATGAAGCTAAGCTCTTTCTATTGAAAACCTTCTGCTTGACTCAGAAGAGAGGAGTTAGCAAATACAGTGCAAGAATCCTATAAACACTTAAGGACTGCCTTAGTGTCTACCCCTGTAAACATTTAAGGATTGCCTTAGTGCTTCAGGGTGAATTCCAGCTTGTACCAGCCAGCACCCCCATCATAACTTGAAGTAGCATCTGGTTTATTACAAATATTTTGTATGAAATTTGGCTTCCCATATTTCCCCCTTTTTGTTTTTATCATACTTATGTTGTCATCTAGACGAGCACGGCTTCTCTTCTTTGATTCATTCTTGCTTGTTTTTGTTTTCTCCATCCTTTATACACAAAACAAATTAAGCATTGTTGTTGTTGTTATGTGCCGTCGAGTCGCTTGCGACTCAGTGACCCTGTGTACAACAGCCCTAAACTCTGCTCTGTCGTGTGCCAATCGTACTGTCTCCGACACTCCCATCCCGATTATCCCAGTCACTGAATCAATCCACCTCATAGAGGGCCTTCCCCTCCTGTGCCGTCCCTCTACCCTCCCAAGCATGATGTCCTTCTCCAAGGACCGGTCTCTCCTCACAACATGTCCAAAGTATGTTAGACGGAGCCTCAGAATCCTTGCCTCCAAGGAGCCACCCGGTTTAACCCTTTCCAGGACAAATCTGTTTGTTTTCCTAGCAGTCCATGGTATTCTCAATACTCTTCTCCAGCACCACAGCTCAAAGGCATCAATTCTCCTTCTATCAACCCTAGTCACTGTCCAACTCTCTGATGCATAACAAGTGATTGCGAAGACCATGGCCTGTATCAAACGCACCTTAGTCTCCAGAGAGACACCATTGCTCTTCAGTACTTTGGAGAGGTCCCTAACAGCAGACTTTCCCATGGCAATGCGCCTTTTAATTTCCTGGCTACTGGTGCCAAGAGTGTTAACTGTGGAGCCAGGCAAACTAAAGCTGTGTACAATCTCAATCTCTTCACCATCTATCCTGATGCTGCCAATTGGTCCAGTGGTGAGAATCTTTGTCTTCTTGACATTGAGCCTCAATCCATATTGTAGGCTGCAGTCCTTGACCCTCTGAAGCAGGTGCTTCAGATCCTCTTCAGTTTCAGCAAGCAGGGTTGTATCATCCGCATAACGCAGACTGTTGATAAATTGTCCACCCATCTTGACCCCATATTTCTCCTCATAGAGCCCAGCCTCCCGGATAATCTGTTCTGCATACAGGTTGAAAAGGTATGGAGATAGGATGCATCCCTGGCGTACGCCCTTCCCAATTTTGAACCATGCAGTGTTCCCTTGCTCTGTTCTGACAGAACATCTTGGCTTCGAACCACGCAAACTCTGGTATTGCAGTGCAGCTTCTTGCCACTAGGCCACCAGAGCTCCCCAATTAAGCATCATAAACTCAAAAAAATACTTCCAAAAAGTCTCCATATGATCAGAAGGATTAAGGTTGGCTGTTCCTTGAGAGTTTGTTTCTATTGTTATATTGCGACAGTTCTTATCAAAACCAGATCTGATTGACCATTGTCAGCGTGTCCTTTGCCATTCCCTGTCACTTCCCCTTGAGAGAGACTTCACCCTAATTCATTAGGAGAGGGGGCGCAGTATTCTCTTAGCTACTTCCTACTGGAAAGGAGTTGTAGGTCCCAGGGTGAAGATCTTCTCTCACTACTCTAAAGGGCCCCTTTGGCAATAGGAAACATGTAGACTATTGAGGCAATTGATTTTGAAATTTAGATACACTGTTATCAGTTGTGCTTAGAGATACAGGTTCATATCCTTGGAGATGTATCATTCTAACATGAAACTGTTGCAGCCTAGAATACACAAATCCAACCAACAAGTTAAAGATACATGTTGTTGTTGTTATGTGCCAGCGAGTCGCTTGTGACTCATAGCGACCCTATGTGCAAGAGCTCTATAAACTCTTCTGTGCTGTGCCATCCTAGCCATCTCAAACGCACTTATTCCCACCACTCCAGTCACACCTATTCCCACCGCTCCAGTCACAGAATCAATCCATCTCATCAAAGGTCTTCCTCTCCTTCGCCGCCCCTCCACTCTGCCAAACATGATGTCCCTCT